TTTTTCTTTTAACAATTAATGTTGTAGTTAAAATTCTGCATGTGCAAAAAAAAAAATAAAAAAAAAAATACTGGAATTTCTGCCTGAAAATTCACCTGGTTGTTTTTTTTCTTCTTTGTTTTGCAGTAAAGAAAGCCAAACTTCAAGGACCACCAGGTGAGTTTTTTTTTGTTTTTTTTTAACTCTTCTGTATTTAACCTTCCTGTGAAGTCAGCGTCTCCTCTTCCTCACTCCTTCCAGCCAGCTGTAAATTTGAATTTGACTCTGTAGTTTTTTTTCCCTCTCAGGCCGAGCTGTGCACGGTGGAGCTTACACCTGTAGCCTTTAAGTCCAAATCCTCACAGTCTCCACCCGAGAAAATCCCCCAGTGTTGACCCTCACACCTGCATCAAAGCCCTGTGACATTTCTGTCCAGAACAGACTTCAGCTCTGGTTCTGCTGCTGACGTCGTCCTCTCAGTCTCAGTCTCCGACTGAAAGTCATTCGTCCAGCAGCATGTGTTAACACTGTGTTTGACTTTGGCCTGGCCCTGATTTTGAGTGACATTTTCCTCGTCTCGTCTGTTTTATTTTAATCATAAAAGAGTAAAACGTTATTTCTTTTTTTCTAGAATGTTCTAGCAGTGGTTTTAAACCATAATAAAGTCTATTTTTGGCTTCGTTAAGCTGCTCGTAAAAGCCTTGGGCTAAAGTAAAAACGTCCCCACGTGCCGTGAAGCCGTGACCTCCGGGGCTGGCACAGAGGCATTAACTGTAAATATATATACTGCTGAGAGAACTCAAAGGTTTCATGATGTGCTTGTTTGCTAACAGCAGAAAAACATCATAACGTCACTGTCTTCAGAGAGGAGGGTGTTTTCAAAGACATTTGTTTCTAAAACATAATGTCAGCCTCGATGTTGTTGTTTTTCTGCCTGTAGTGCAGCTTGTTGACACACTGACCACCAGCGCTCTGCCGTCTCAGCTCCCGCGGCGTCTCAGCTCCCGTGGTGTCCACTCCCCCTGAGCTGCGGCCACTAAATGGAGTTAAAAGGGTTTCGTTGGCGTCTGCATTGTGTCAGGAGCATCTCTGCCTGACGGAGATATTGGTTTAACATTTTCAGTCCAGGCTGGTCTTTGTCTTTGTGCCCTCCTCCTCCTCCTCCTCTTCCTCCTCCTCCCTCCCTCCCTCCCTCCCTCCCACACCACATGTCACACCTGCCCCAAAGCAAACACAGAGATAATTCAGCGAAGCCCGTCGCCTTCCTTCAGTGAAACCTAAAACAACACTGACTCAAAGCAGCAGCTTCGTTTGTCCTCGTTCAGACGCTTTACTACGGCCGGGTTAAAAACACAACGGGATTTAATCACCGTTCTGCTGTGGAACCAAAGATTTCTAAATGTTTCCCCCGTGTGCGTCAGTCCTCTGATCACGGACTGGATCCTTTAACAACAACGACACTGACTCGGGGCTTAGTTCCTAGTCCAGCATCAGCTGTGCTGTAACTCACGTGTCACCGTCGATGACGTCGCTGTTCGCGCTGAAACAACTTATCTATTCTGCTGTAGAGTAAAATTCAAACGTCTGTCCATCACTGCTGCACCACAGGGCCGGGGTCTGGGGGTTCTGGTGGTGGGGGGGGGGTTTAGGCTTTTGGTCTGATTTTCCCGGTTCTAGAAACGAAACGTTCAACACGTCAGTTATTGTTCAGTTCCTGTAACGATCAGTCAGACGTGTGACCTGACCTGTCGGAGGAACCACAGCGTTTGCTCAAGGCTGGTGTGTGTGTGTGTGTGTGTGTGTTGTGTTCGTGTGTTGTTTTTATGACCACACCTTAACAAGGGCAGACTTTAGGACCTACATCTGAAGCCTGGCATGAATTGTTGTCGAGGTGAATGTGGCCTGGGCCGAGTCGACGGCCAGCTGTCCTGGTTTCCACCCACTGCTGCAGGAAACTCTGCCTTGATAAGAGCCGTGCGTCTGCACACTGTAACTTCCTGCTCTTTTCAGACTTGTTGTTTTTTTTTTGTGTTTTTTTTTTACGTGTACGTAAATAGACTCCTCCTCAGGTGGTCCCAGTCTTCACGTCTGCTGATGCGTGAAACACAAGACAAATGTCTGAAGTTGAAATGTCAGCTCCTCCACAGACCTGGGTTTTCCTGATTAATGCAGTGAAAAACTCATCACTGGTCAATAATAGATGAGGGAACAGGAGTGGCCTGTCCTTAAAGATTTAAAGGACAAGGACTGTAGTCAGGCGCCATACGGTGGAGAAAGTGGTTAGTGCTGTTTAGAGACCATTTTTAATAATCACGAAATCCAGTTTATTCCTCATTATATCGACTCGTACTGAGTTAGAAAAACAAACACAGTACAAGTTGGTGGTGATGTGCAGTAACTGTACTGCAGTAGTAATATGAAAAGTACAAATGAATCTCACTGGACTGGAGGAACCACCATCGCTAACGCTGGAGAGGACCGGAGTTTAAGGTCGGAATAAGATGGAGGAACCACCATCGCTAACGCTGGACAGGACCGGAGAATAACGTCGGAATAAGACACAGACTGTTTCATGTTGGGCAAAAAAAAAAAAAAAAAATTACAATTGGTCCAAAGACTGTGGTTTCCTCTGGTTCCAAGTCTAGACCAGTGTAACAGGTGGAGCCCCCTTCTGGATGAAGGAGCAGCCAAAAAGAACAAGAAGAAGAGGAGGAGGAGGAACATCAAGACACAGAAGATGAAGAAGACGAAGTAGAGTTCGTGTCCGTCGACACTTTTTATCACGAACACTTTGTTCGTTAAGATTTCCCTGAATCGTTGTTCCAGCGTCCGCCATCTGGCCTCATAAATGTATTACCTGCTGTTTGCTCATGTAGCTGAGACATAACAAGTAGACCATATACTTGAGCAAATATTTACCAAAGTATTAGACCAAAGTATCAGTACTACTTTTTCCGTTGATAGTATCATGGCTTTAAAGAACATAATTACATTTGGACCCAGTGTCTGGTTCTGGTTCTGGTTCTGGTTCTGGTTCTGGTCCAGGTCCGTCAGTCAGTGTGTTTCCATTTCCAGTCACTGCTGCGTCCTCTTCTTCTTCCTTCTACTCCTCACCAGTCCAAACGGTGTCGGCCCCCTAGTGGACAGTGAAGGTCCGACGGCCTCTGAGTGGTTCTTATCTAATCCAACGTCCTCTTCCCTTCTCTTATCTCAGCTCCTCTGTTCCTGGGAGGCGGTCTGAGTGTGGCACAAAGCATCAGCGATTTAATTAGGGAGAGGCTTGACTACGTCCCCGACCCCCCGACCCCC